TATCATATGGCTGCCCAATGAAACCGTAGAGAGTCTCAGAACAATAGGAAGTCTATGATTAATGCAGACACATACACAAGTTAGGTTTCCACCTGTTATCCTGTACACTTTGAAATGGCACCCCCACCTTTTCAGCCCCATTGCCAACAGCAGACTATATAACAAACCATCTGTACCATAATAGTTAGAGCCAACTGAGATGGGTTGATGGATACCAAAGAAATCTCATTTTTTCAATCTTTTTTCCCCTTGTGTGTTATTAGGATGAATAACATTTAAACTAAGCTTTTGTACAATTTGAGCTTTTTAATGTTACTTTAATGGTCTTTCTGGTGGATTTCCTTGTTGCTCCCCTGCAACAGAAGGAAAAGTTGACCCTCTGAAGCAAGCCACTGGGAAGCAAAGCCCACAGCTATGTGGTGTTAAGAGAAGAGACACAAGTCTTCTGCCAATCTCTTGTGATTTGACAGAATTATTCGATTATGCCTTTTCAAGGATAAGCTTGAAATGCAGATTACACCGTGATCCACAGACTCATTAGATTAACAGAAAAACTGGAAAAGGATGCCCATTTTTAATAGAAAATAGATGTGATCTTTCTCCCCTTTTCCCTGCTGAACGTTAAAAGCATTCATCAGAGACTCTTATGCTTCTGAATGAAACACCATCAAACTTTTCCAAAAACTTGTCAGCTGAGCTATTTTCTCAGCAAGCATGTGATGTGTCAGCTCAGCAAAATTATTTTTTAATGATTACTATGAACATGATGTTTGCTAACTACTTTCTCCCCTTGTAAGCAGAGATAAACCCTCCTATTTTGATGAATACCCGTAAGTTCAACAGACTGTTGCTTGAAAGTTCCATATTTTAATTAACTTTTTGAAAGATGAGAAAGTTCCTAATTACAGTTATTCTTCAAGTAACCATCCTCACAGAATAGACTTTTCCTCTGACTTTAAAATGTTTTTTTGTTTATAGGCAGTAGTGTTGTGCTAGGTTAGACAGCTCAAGGGCAACATTACTACTTACTAAATTAGGTGTAACTGCAGAACACAAAAACCTTTCTATACAGGGCCTCTACTTTTCCTTAAACTGAAAAAGGGATGGAAACCTACAAAGTTGCTAATGGCTGTCAGTGGCCCCACCTCCTCTTGGGAGATGCCCTCATTTATTACATCATTGAGTCAGTCGGTATTTACGGAATATTTATAGTAACAGGCACTGTGCAAAGCATCACAAATAAAGTCATATTTTCCCCATGAAGCTTTTAGTTTTGTGGCAACATCAAATAAGTGAGCATTAATCTACAAAACAGTGTAGAGAGTGCTCAGAAAGGGTACATGAAAGATGTGGTAGGAGCACACAGCAGGGACCCCAACCCCAGGGTGGGGGTGAGGGTGGGTGAGGCCACAGGCTGAGGACAGGAGGGACAAGCAGAGAGGGCTCATCAGAATGAGAGCCAATGAAGCCTAAATTGGAGCATGGAGTAGCATCCGGCCCAGGAGAGAAAGAGAATGTACGTGAAGACTCTGCAGGGGTCATGCTAGTAATGCCAACAATATCTGAAGAGAAGGCAGGACTGGTCATGTTTGTCTGGCACTTTTGTAAACACTCATAGCTTAACTCACCTAGCTTTCACAACAACCTCATGAAGAAGACAGTTATTTCCATCCCGATTTAACAATAGAGGCACAGAGGTTACAAAGCTAGTAAATGCGGAGCTAGATTTTAAATGTGAGCAATCTGTACCCAGAACCCTCTACTCTTCACTGATTTTGCTATACTGTCTTCTCAAGAGATCACAGGCCACTGGGAGTGATGGGAGGACACAGAAAATCATTCTGCCTGGCTATTCTTACTATTTACCAAAAAAGAAGAAAGAATCTAGGTTCAGTCATTTATCCTTATTGACTAACTATGCTTCAATCATAGTGTATGACAGGTGGCACTGCTGTCCCATTAATTACATGGTCTACCTTTTTGTCCCCCCAGGAAAAATGAAGTATTTATTTATTTATTTATTTGGTTGTTAGTGTCTTTTTTTATTATTAAGGTATCACTGATATACAATCCTATGAGGGTTTCACATGAGCAACATTGTGGTTACTACATTCACCCATATTATCAAGTCCACCCACACACCCCATCGCAGTCACTGTCTATCAGCATAGTAAGATGCCATAGAGTCACTACTTGTCTTCTCTGTGCTGTACTACCTTCCCCATGATCTACCTATATTGTGTGTGCTAATTATAATGCCCCTTAATCCCCTTCTCCCTCCCTCCCTCCCCCTCACCTTCCTCAACCTGTTCCCTTAGCTGTTAGTCCCCTCCTGGAGTCTGTGAGTCTGCTGCTGTTGTGTTTTGCTTTGTTGTTATACTCCACAAATGAGTGAGATCATTTGGTACTGGTCTTTATACGCCTGGCTTATTTCACTGAACATAATACCCTCTATCTTCATTCACGTTGCTGCAAATGGTAGGATTTGTTTTCTTCTTATGGCTGAACAATATTCCATTGTATATATGTACCACATCTTCTTTATCCATTCATCTACTGATGGACACTTAGGTTGCTTCTCTATCTTGGCTCACTGTGATAAACACAGGGGTGCATACATCTTTTTGAATCTGGGATCCTGCATTCTTTGGGTAAATTCCTAGGAGTGGAATTCCTGGGTCAAATGTTATTTCTACTTTTAGTTTCTGAGGAATCTCCATATTGATTTCCACAATAGTTGAACTAGTTTACATTCCCACCAGCAGTATAGGAGGGTTCCCCTTTCTCCACATCCTTGCCAGCATTTATTGCTCCTAGTTTTTTGGATGTTGGCCATCCTAACTGGTGAGGTGATATCTCATTGTGGTTTTAATTTGCATTTCCCTGATAATTAGCTATGTGGAGCATCTTTTCATGTGCTTGTTGGTCATCTGAATTTCTTCTTTGGAGAAGTGTTTGTTCATATCCTCTGCCCATTTTTTAACGGGTTATTTGCTTTTTGGGTGTTGAGGCATGTGAATTCATTATATATTTTGGATGTTACGTGGTCTACCTTTTGATCTTTAAGCGTCAACTGAAACTGTGGTTGTGGGATGTTGAGAGGGGAGGTATGGGGACAGGGGGCATACGGGAACTCTCTGTACCTTCCACTCAGTATTGCTATGAACCTAACGCTGTTCTAAAAGCTTTAGTTTATTACTTTTTAAGAAAATGAGATGATTAGGATTCAAGCTAAAAAGAAAGAGAAAAATGATAATAGCTTTTTTTGTCCCCATTAAAGGAATCTGATATACTAGAATCCATGTATAAAGAAATTATGGAGGTAAATTTAAATTATTTCTTAAGCCAATTCTGAAATTAAAATTAGGACACTGTGAGTATGGAAGTTATCTCTTATGCAAGATGATTGACTAAGCTCCCCTAAGTGGCAGTTCAAGTAAGATCAATCCTTTAAGAATGTTCTGTTATCAGCATTTTCTTCTAAGCTTTGCAGTCCTCCTGGGAGGTAGCTGCCTGCTAGAACCTGGGTCGCCTGCCCCTCTGACCCCCTCCCTGACCAGAGAGTCAGTCATTCTGTCATTTGCTCCCATTCTAACTACTTTCTGCACTCCTGCATTTCAAGACTCCAAAATGCATACTTCAGGGTTTCCCCATGTATAGCAAGCAACACTTCAATATTAAATAAAATGTTGGTAGACTAATCTCCTTTTCCTTCTAACTTTTAGTTCTGTTTATGTGTGTGTGCTATCAAATTATTACTGTGATATATAACTATGAGGGAGCATAGCAGGATCTTTGGGAAAATGTACAAGTATTTAGATTAATAATGAAGGTGAAGGTAGGAATGACTAGGCAGTAATCTTTAAATCCAAAGAGGCTGGTGGGTCACTTTATAATATTTTGATGTAGAACTATGATGAGTCTTAAAAACTAAATATTCAATTGGGAAGGCTAGTCACTACAAAATATTCTAAGTGCCCCCAAGACATCAACAGTGAAAGTGACGCCTCCCATTCCTCATGGAGAAAGCACGAGCTCTGAAATACCTTAGATCCATCATTCATTCCCTTCTCTCAGCTCCTCTGATTTTATGCATACTATCTACATGGCTGTTCGCATCGCCTTCTTGATACTGTTACTGATATTCGTGCTACACTTTTATAACTGTATCTTAAGGCTTTCTCTTTCATTTCCTTATACTCGATTTCCTTTGCTTCCAATGCCTAAGATGACTTGACAAGCCCTCACGGATCTTTCTTAATTGATTATATTCACCATGATTAGCATCCTTTTTGTCAAAGAAGAAAATGTTATTAGTTTGATTTTTGATCCGACTAAATTTACCTCTAATTATTTTCTTAACTATTTTCTTCTGCAGAAAACTTTTTTTTTTGATTTTAGTATAATCGCATATAACATAATGATTCAACACTAACATACATTATGAAATGCTCACCACATTTAGTGTAGTTATCTATCCCCATACGGAGACTACAATTCTTTAGTAACCATATATGGATATTAAATACCCTATGTATCAAAGCTAATATTGATTAGACATACTAACTAGAGGCATCCTTCTTCCCTTCAATGGCAGAGGCTGCATTTGCCCCTTTCCCAATCTTAGGCATTCCTTCCATACCCCAGAAGGTATTGAAAACAATAATCAAAAGCAACAGTAACAGCCACTGAACACTGGTATTCCTTTAGACTGTGACTGGATGCACATTTGCCACCTTTAAGCAAGAAGAGGCTGATTCCACCTCTTTTTGCCTAGTTCCCACCTGAATGGCAGCAGGCCTATAAATCCTGTGGCCATAGTAACAGTTTTAGCTGCTTGGCAGCAGATGCTGGGAAATGATAGAAGAAACAGATTATCAAATGTTTAAATCTTTGTTGTCTTAAAGGAAATCTGTGAATACAGACCTCCAATTTACATGCTATAAATGCTTTCAGATCTTCCTCCAGAAAATTAGCCTTTCCGGAGCTCAGTCACCCACCTTGAAGTTCTCCACTCCGACTGTAGAGCTCCCTTCTCTGCTCTCGCAGATAGGCACTCATGCTGATGGCATGGGAGGAGGATTCGAACCTGCAATGAAACGCACGGTAAACAAATGGTTCCATGGAAACGGAGGGTATAGGGCCATGCAGTGTAAAAGTATCCTGCTCTAGTGGGTGATGCTCCCTCGTGTTCCACAACAAGACCCTGTGCTGTTCCATGGCAGGGCCAAGGCAGGCTGGCGAACACGATTCTGGGCTAACAGTCCTTTACAACAGCGTCTGGGGCCTTTGTTCGCTGTCCATTTGTCCTAATGCAGCTGTGGTCTTTTGCAACCTTCTTTTGCCTTCAGATCCTTTGCCAGGATACCTGATGCAAAGCAACAAGAATATCCTATAAAGCCATTCTAATTTTGCTGCTATCCAGTCAAAAGCCTCAGTGACTGCTAGCTGCCACCCCAAAACAACTAGCCCCTCAAAAAAGACATCATGTCTTCCGAACTCCCGCAGTTAGAGGACAAGGACAAAGGGGATGCTAGACATTCCACTGAATCACTACACTGAAGCCACAGGGCATCTACGTTCTCTCCTTAAAAGTCCTCAAAAACAATGGTTTCTAAATAGCTGCCAGGTTTGCAACCTACCACCTATCATGCAGAATACTCTCCAAAATTCCAAGCTACAAAACATTCACACGTACCCAGGAACCGTTTCAGCTGAGAGACGTGGAGCATATAGGCTCATGACATGGAACAGATCTCTAAAAGCAAGAATAAGGAATTAAAAAAGGAACAAGAGAGAAAAACAGTCTTAAGAGAAACATGTAGGTAAAGAAAAAGAAGAAGAAAAATCATCACTATATTCAAACAGTAAATCCTTTGATGTGCTAAAAAAATTCCATTTCAAACCTCAGATTTTCAAAGTCAGAATAACAGGCTGACAGGAGAAATCCTTGTAGGAATCACTGCCAGTACGGGGTAAAAAGCAACATAATGGAAGAGCAACAGGGTAATGGGATGGGTTTCTGGGAACAAGGAGGGAATGCCACGATTTTCTTAATTATGCCTTCTTAATCCGTTCTTTGACAAGGAAGATGAATGAGAGTGACTCAAAGGGAAACACTTGGGTTACCTGATCCTCTCTCTGCACCCTGCCAAGACCCAAGAGGGCACTAACACTCTGAAGGAGGCAAAGTGTACAGTACTTCAGATGAGCCACCTGCCAGCCGAGTGCACAAAAGAAGCCCCTGACCTCCAAAAGCATGCTGGCAGCTATTGATCAGAAATAGCAAGGAAAAAAAAAACCTCTTGAGCAAAGAATAGAGAGGCAGACATTATACAAAATAAGAGAGGACTTAAACATACTTAATTAACCCTGGCTAGGGGCAGCTAAAGAGAGTAATAATGTCCTTCATGGATGTGATAAAAACAGATTACAGCTTGCTAAAATCTTAATCCTTTATGACCCGATATGTTTTGGCTACTCAGGAATCTTTTTAATGTTTGTAACAAGGCACAGACTGATATAATTTTACAGTAAAGAAGGCACTAGAGGTGATTCAGTCTCACTTCCTTGTTTTATAGCCACAGGCACTGAGGCCTGCTAGTAGGCTGTGGATTCTCTCATGGCTCATTAATGGGAGAACCAAGACTAGAAACAGGCAAATCTGTAATAATAGCCTAATTCTGTGTAGGTGAGGAGTTTTTATTATTGTGCAATAATAATAAATGGGTAACAATCACTTAATTTCATTTATTCATTTCCAACAATTTCTATGCTTTCCAATACCTCAGTTTCAGGACTGTCTAAAATGTTTGAAAATGTGTATGTGGTCTGAGGTTGAAATTAGGGTAATGGTTGAAAGCCAGAAAGCTAAATCCCCTGAAACCTACTTTCTACAATACACCTAGATTTAGGATAGTAAGTTGCACAGGGGTAAAAATAAAAAAAGAAAGAAAAAAAGGAAGGAAGAAGGGGAACCCTCCTACACTGCTGGTGGGAATGTAAATTAGTTCAACCATTGTAGAAAGCAGTATGGAGGTTCCTCAAAATGCTCAAAATAGAAATACCATTTGACCCAGGAATTCCACTTTTAGGAATTTACCCTAAGAATGCAGCAGCCCAGTTTGAAAAAGACAAATGCACCCGTATGTTTATTGCAGCACTATTTACAATAGCCAAGAAATAGAAGCAACCT